AGCCAGAGGAGCATGGCCACGTCCATCAGGCCAATAGCTCCTCAAAAAACCAAAAGCGCAAGGCTCGGCTCGCCGCCAAAACGCGCAATTCTCCGGTTGCAAGGCACCCAAAGCGTCCTGGCGGAGTTGTCGAGCAGGGCGACCTGGAAGGCTGCAAGCTCTGAGCTCAAGCTCGGCCATCTGAAACCTCGAAAAGGGCTCTATCCTTCTCTACGTTGCCACCAGTGACCTGTTGAGAAGTTCTTGAGATCTTATATCCCATGCTCCTTTCCTGCTCTAACACGCAAAGACGCTTGCACCCGCACACACCTGCCCACTTTTCCACCTTCACATTTCGGTCCACGCGGAAATACGCAAGTCAGACCGCTCTCCCTGCCTCAGGGCTGCTCGCAAGGCGCGGCGCCTGCCGAGCGCTTAGTTTTCCCCATGCGCAAAATCCCAAGGTTTTGTAAATGAAAGCTCCCACTTTTTCCGGGCCAGTTTGAGACGTTCACCTTTGGCTTCTACGGATTAATCCGGGTCTGACGTTTGGATGTTTCCTCTGCCTCCACTCAGCCACCCGCTCCACTGCCGCGTGGTCCGCCGGCACAAGGTGGCTGGGGTCGTCTGCAAAGCCCGAACATGGTTGCATGACGTAAACCATCAACGGACCTCCCAACAAAGATGGTCCCCAGAAGTATCCACAAACATCCAGATACCAAAAGGGTGCACATGCTGCCTCACATGCCATACACAAGCTGCATACCACTCGCTTGACCCTGCCTGGGCTCGGCAAGCTGGCGGCGCTAAACAGTGCCTGCAGCTCCTGTGGCGGAAGCAGGCGGCAGCTCTTGCGCACCTTCAGCACCTGCGCGTGTGATCTGTTGGACTTGCCCCGCCCTCATTCCAGCCACAGACTGCAAGGCTAAACCTTAAGCTGGCTCCCTTTCAACAAATCAACCCAAGCTGGCAACAAAGCCATTTGTCTCCAAAGGGCTGTGTCTTAAAATCGGGGGCCCCCAAAAAATGTGGGCCCTTTGGTTGTCCTTTCACCCAACCCCCAAAAAGCTACCAGCTCCCAGAAATACAAAGCCCTTTAAGCTCGTTTCTGCAATCGAAAACCGCCGAATCCCATCGCCTCCTCCTCAGAGGAGGCCTGTGCCTCCCGGGCTGCATGGAAAAGGCCTCGCAAAGCCGGCCGAAAGATCCCGTGGTTTTCCTTTTGGTTTTTTTTTGAAGCCGCCAAGAGTGGCCTACCCTCACAAAAGACAAACCCATGAGGTGGTGAGAATAGGAAATACAGGCTGTTTTGAAGGGCTGCGATCTGGCATCTGATTTCCCGTTCGACTTGACTGTAGGTAAAGAAACAATGCTAGACCTGCTCCGTCCATCGAGCAAACATGTCGGACGAAAGGGTCTCGCTTTGAGGTCACCACTCAGCATCATCAAATTCCTGATTCAGAACGGTGCAATGACGAGGTTCAGACTGATTTCAACCCCATTCGACCAGAACTCACGGCAAGGCCAAGTTTTTTCCCAGCGTCGAGCGAAAGAATGGCCAGAAGTGACTCCAGAAGATGTCCCTGCCGCAAGATCCTCAGACGGCTCTTGCATCCAGTTGTTCGCGCTCACACACATGTGAGTCTACGGCACCGCAGCCAAGGGGCCCCTTCGCGCCGTGATGTGCATGATGTGTGTATCGTTGAAAGTCTTCTCCAAACGATAACCATCAATCTCCACGGTGAAGTAGCTGCCTGCGTTCCCCGAGACCATGCGGCATCGTTGCTCAAATATTCGTCTTGCCCCCAGCCTTGCTCCACTGCATGCAAAGTGAAGTCGTCCACGGGCCGCACCTGGCCATGTGACTTGCAGCAGGTTGCAGCGCACTCGTCCTTCAAGCGGCACTCGCTCTCCAAAAGTCGCGCGCGGCGCCCGAGGAGTCCATCGGCCTCGATCTCCACTTTGTAGTCCCGGCCAGTGGCTTCCGTGTGGCCCTCCAGCAGGCCCTGCAAGCTTGGGCTGACGATGCCTAGCAGTGGCAACAAAAAAGAGGCCTGGGCTCAAACAAATGTGAGGTGATGTCAAGTTGATCCTATCTGATCCCATCTCCCCAACTCCGCGGGCAAATCTCTGACCAATTTGGGGTCGACGGCTTAGACCTTCAGAGCGGGAAGTCGAGAAAATCACCGTTGGAGCGCAGCTTGTAAAGGTCTGGAAAAGCACTGAGCTTGCGTGCAAGATTCTGTTCTCCCAGAGAAAGCATCCCCTGGTACCTTGGCTGGTTTGCAAGGCAAAAGCAAAACTCCCGTGAGTGTGGTCCAAAATCGGCAGAACTTGCTCCCGCCGAGCGAAGAGGCGACACTTTCAAGCACCACTGCGGCATAGGGACCAAAAGGAAGAATATCATATAGAAGCAAAGACACGAAACGGGAAAAGCGCGAAACCCCCCCAAGAAAAAAACGAAGAAAAAAGGTGAAATTCTGAAACGAACCAAACCCGGAGAAGAAAATGGGAGACTCCGGAGGCTCGGGACCTTGACGAGCGGCGCGGCACCTGCACGGCCCGGTTCATCCAGCACGGCTCCGCGTCCAGGATCTGCTGCGCGAAGCCCTGGGCCTGAAACGGGAGACCCGGGGAGACACGCGCTGAGCCCGAGCCGTCAAGAAAAAAAAACACGGGGCAGGTAGGGATGGCACGGAAAATGAGGATAGAAGGTGCGAGACGACATGGCATCCTATAGATGAATAGAAAGGACTGATCAAGAATTGTGCCGTGAGAAAAGCTGCTTGTGGGCCATGTCTGACAGCTTGGAGTTTGGCCAACAACCCTTCCTACCCAATCCAAGCCAGTGATCCATGGGTATGTGGCAAAACAATGTGTGGTTACAAAGAAGCTGATCAGTCACCTTGAATGTCCACCTCCAAGACGGACCACACCAAACGACCCGGCCACGGGCGCAACATGCCCGGCCTTTTGCCAAGGAAGGAAGTAGGTATTCTTCGGCATCTCGCGCATCATTGCCACCATCTGCAGCCGTCGAGAGATTTCGGGCTTAAGCTCAGTCCAATCCAGCTTCGATTCAAATACACAGCACTGGTGGTCTGAGCCTCGCTCAAGAAAAATATGCTGCGAGCTGGCAGTTGCATGCATGCCTGGATGTTGAGCTCATCATGCATGCCAGCCTTGGAGACAGTCATGCCACCAGTCAGCAGCACGAAGAGGAAAAAACCTTGACTGCAACTTCTCGGAACCCACGTAAGAAAAAGACGAGACAAACGATGCTACTAGTACCTGACCCAGTGTACTGGTGCCCCGTTACCTTTTGTTTCAATTAAGCACATCAACTCGGCCGTCAAAAGTCTCTTAGCCGTCATACAGCATTCGCAAACTCGCGCCAACTGGTGCAAGCGAGGAGCTCACGAAGGCACGAGCGGTCACATGGCGGATCGTCCACCTCACGAGATCGCCCGTAAAGAGAGTCTCACACGCATGCCTTGCCATGCCTTGCCATGCGTTGCTAGCAAGGCACTCTGTAACGTTGACCGGCTCGCAGGGATTTGTGGTGTCGAAGTCTACGGCCAAAAGAGAGACGAAAAAAAACCTAGGCCAAATCGGCTGCATGTCTGGAACCCCAGGACGTGCAACAGAGTGTCAAGGTTCTGGGTGTCAAACAACACCACCGAGAACAGCTTGCCATGCTTCTCAAGGGCCCCCCCCACCATCTGGGAGGGGACTTTGGCCATCTATAAATCTGTGGCAAGTCTTCTCCAAGTGGCAAGAAGCAGAAGTTCAAGCTCAGCATCTGCCTTGAGAAGGCGTGCATCCGGAAGACCTGAACCATGGTTTGTTGAAGGGTGCCATCTGGATGCCCTGGGCAGCTATCTAACATAAGAAACCAGCGAAAATGGACATTCTTTAGTTTTTGGTGGGTGTTTGGCCAGTTTCCCATCGAAAGTCCTGGTTTCTATCAAGTCAGTTCAGGTCTTACCTTCCTTTTGCCCGCCTTGGCGAACACGGCGTTTCGTCCGTGGAAGGGGCCCTGCACCTGCTGCCTCAGCAAACCCCGCATATGCCGCTGGGAGGAGGGAGGCTCAGGGCTTCCGGGAGCCGGGCATGCCCAGCAGCGTGCAGAAGAGCCACACGAACAAAATCACCAGGCCTGGCCGGTGGAGAACGATGGCTCACCCTTCAGAACTTTGGAGGAAGAGAGAACAGGGCGCCAATGGCTGCCGGACGATACCAATGAGCACAAACTCATCTGGTCAGGTCTTGAGACGTTCTGATAGCATCATGGCCCTTAAGCAGCCTCCAGCTGCTCTGCACCAGAGATTGGAACAAAAAAAAGCTTCTGGGAAGGAGCTCGGCCATGGTAGCACCCACAGCGAGAGCGAGAGAGAGAGTGCGTCAGGCGTGCGTCAGGCCCACCTCCGCCATAGGTGATAAAGGCGCTGTTCTCCCTCAGAGACTCGATGGACGCGTGATAGGTGCCTCGGCCAGAGGGACCACTCAAAGCGATGTGTCAAGCTTCTTCCTTTTAGGCTCTTTCTCGAAGACGCTAAATGGAAAATCAACAAACCACCAATATGGGGTCAGCTGATTCGTTGTGCCCAAAGCGCTGGTCAGGCCCTCTGAGAGCCCGGGCAGGGTGCAGACCCAACGCAAGCGACGCTGCCCGTCAACACCCTGGACCTCAGAGTTGGCTGATGCAAATCTGTCTCCTTTGCCTTTTGAATATAGTTATGTCTCACAAAATGCCCATATCTGCATCTTTGCTCTGCAAACGCTAAATCGCAACCGCGGCGACACATTGCCCGTGGCATGGGTTCGGTTGCTGTGGAATGGCTAGGTGGCAAACCCGCCCTGCATCTGGAGGGAGAGATTCTGGCATGTGACAGTGTCCTCAGGGAAGTTGGCTGAAAAGAATACGGGCAAAGGTGTCCGGGTTTGCAACATCACTTGTAGTGCAGCCCCCTAAAAAAACAATTACTATTAAAAAACAAAAAACAAAACAAAAAACATTGAAATCGAACGGACAATAGGATGTGGCCTGACACCGTTCTTGCCATAAGCAGTTCTGACCCAAGCAACCGCGTTCCTGTTGAAGTCCCGGCCACCCACCAAGCAAGCCGTACCCAGCTTTCTACAACCCAAGGCAACCTAGGGCAAAAGTTGCCTTTGGCGTTAAACAAACCCCGAAAAGGGCTTCCCTCAAAAAATGATACCGTCACGTGAGAAGTCGGAGCCCCTCACCTCCAGCAGCTGCACAGGGGTCTCAGTGTAGCAAGTCACGGCATAGCTGCGATTGGCCTCCTGGCCAAGGTCCGCTTTCCAGCGATGCTTCTGTCAGTCTGTTTGACCCCATTGTGTGGTGTGTGTGGTGTGTGTGGTGTGTGTGTGGTGTGTGGTGTGTGTGTGTGTGGTGTGTGTGTGTGTGGTGTGTGTGTGTGGTGTGTGTGGTGTGTGGTGTGTGTGGTGTGTGTGGTGTGTGTGGTGTGTGTGTGTGTGGTATGTGTGTGTGTGGTGTGTGTGTGTGGTGTGTGTGGTGTGTGTGGTGTGTGTGGTGTGTGTGGTGTGTGTGGTGTGTGTGGTGTGTGTGGTGTATGTGGTGTGTGTGGTGTGTGTGTGTGATGTGTGTGTGTGTGTGGTGTGTGTGGTGCGTGTGTGTGGTGTGTGTGGTGTGTGTGTGTGGTGTGTGTGGTGTGTGTGTGTGTGGTGTGTGTGGTGTGTGTGGTGTGTGCGGTGTGTGTGGTGTGTTTGGTGTGTGTGTGTGGTGTGTGTGTGTGTGCGGTGTGTGTGTGTGGTGTGTGTGTGTGGTGTGTGTGTGTGTATGCCGCGTGTGGGGTGTGTGTTGTGTGTGTGGGGTGTGTGGTGTGTGTGTGGTGTGTGTGGCGCGTGGTGTGTGGTGTGTGGTGTGTGGTGCGTGTTGTGTGGTGCGCGGTGTGTGGTGTGTGGTGTGCGACGCGCGCGGTGTGTGTGTGTGTGTTGGCGTGTGGTGTGCGGCGCGCGCGCAGTGTGGTGTGTGGCGTGTGGCGCGCGGTGTGTGGTGTGTGGCGTGGGTGCGCACGGTGTGGGGTTTTGCGGTGTGTGGTGTGTGGTGGGGGGCGGTGTGTGGTGTGTGGTGTGTGGCGTGTGGTGTGCGGTGTGTGGCGCGCGGTGTGTGGTGTGTGGTGTGTGGTGTGTGGTGTTGTGCGCGTGGTGTGTGGTGTGTGGTGTGTGGTGTGTGGTGTGTGGTTTGTGGTGTGTGGTGTGCGGTGTGTGGCGTGCGGTGTGTGGTGCGCGGCGTGCGGCGTGCGGTGTGTGGTGTGTGGCGTGTGGTGTGTGGTGTGTGGTGTCTGGTGTCTTGGTGTGTGGTGTCTTGGTGTGTTGGTGTGTGGTGTGTGGCGTGTGCTTTGTGGTGTGTGTGTGTGTTGGTGTGTGGTGTGTGTGTGTTGGTGTGCGTGTGTGTGTTGGTGTGTGTGTGTGTGTGTTTGTGTGCATGTGTGTGCGTGCGTGCGCGTGTGTGCGTGTATGTGTGTGCATGTGTGTGTGTGGCGTGTGCGTTTGTATGTGTGTGGTGCCTATGCGCATGGCGCGTGTGCGTGCATGTGCGACTATGCGTGTGTGAGTATGTGTGTACGTGTGTACATGTGTGTGTGTGATGGTTGTACGGCGCTTCTTGTATATGTGTGTGTGTGAGTATGTGTGAGTATGTGTGTGTGTGTGCGTGCATGTGTGTGTGTATATGTGTGTCTATGCGTGTATGTATGTTCTTACCTGGGATTCGTGCACACGAGTGTGCGTGTATGTGTATAGTGTATACATACAAAGATATAAATACATATATATATATATGTATGTATGTGTGTGTGTGTAAGCAAGCTAACCAAACAGGCCTAAACACAAAGCGGACACAACCATTCGTGTCCAAGCATTGTGTGGGTGCCAGGGCTCCCCTGTCAGGTGGAAAACCGGTCTGGAGTGGATGTGACATCCCATCCAGATAAGCTTCCCTAGGGTGGGTGTGCCAGGCAGATTAGCGCCCGCCGGCACACTACTAGGGGAGCAAAAGAAGGAAACGGAAGGAGGGGGAAACCGCCCTCCGGCTCCGGCCACGAAAGCTTGGGCGGCCAACAAATCAGAAGGGTAAGGTCAAAATTCTCCCCGTTCAGGATGCGGGACGGCCGCAGCGAAGGGCTTCTTGGAGTTCAGGTTGAGCATGGCCCTTGGTTGTCGCTCTCCACAGGGATCCTCACCCAAGAAGAGAGAGGCCTCTGGCAGATGAGGGCAGGGCCTGGAGGAGGCTAGCACAGAGGTGTCGGACCTCTCCATCCTGGATTACATGACAGCTTCCTAGCTGACCGGCGCCTAGAAAATTTGGAAATCCCGGATGCTCCGGCGGCTCCTCGCCGGTCAGGCTCGGAAACAGATGACTCGGTGGACACCCCAGTCGGTGGACACGAAAAGGTTGTGTTCGCTTTGTGCTTAGGCCTTTTTGGTTAGCTTACACTTTGCTAATGTTAGAACATGTTCCACCAACTGCTCTAAGATTTGAAAGACCCGCCCACCCACTCCTGATATCAATGGCGGAGAACGGGATGCCTCCAAGGCCGCCGGCCGCGTCTGGCGGGGGACATTGAGAAGCTCCACAAGCCGCAGCCTGGGTGGAGTTGGGTGACCGGTGGAACACTCCGGAGGCGGCCCAAGAACACGGTAACAAGCCATGTCAAGCGGTCCGTCAGGGTAGGGCCCTGGCCTTTGCTGGGCCAGGCAATTGGAGGACGCCTATGTGAATGCATGCCTCGTTTGGAACACCAGGGCAGCAGTGCCTTCCTCAAACGGAAGTGGAGGCACATCGCCAAAGGCGAGCTGAGGTTCATCCCGGCCAAACACGTTGTCAGTGCCTTGTTGGAGGTGGGATAGGGGGGACGAGGGGGATCTGGGCTACTAGGGCCTTTATCGGATGGTCCAACTCCGTCCACCACTCCCGCATCAAGTTCGACCTTGGCCAGGTGGCCACCAAGGCCACCACGCTCACGCTGTCTACTTCCGCTTCACCATTGGCAAGAGCTGCGCTGTTGTCATACGGCTGCCCTCGAGCTCCATCTCCGCCAACGCAATCTCCTCCTCCGAGAGACGCTGATCCTCCACCAGCTCGAACGAAGCTGCCGAGGCAGAAGAAGCCATGGCAAGAGAGAGGGAGTGGGTACAGAGGCGATAGCTTTTTCAAATCTTAGACCAGTTGGTCCGAGCTTGAGCCAAAATGGCACATGCCATTTTGGTCAAGCATTCCTCACACAAGCCATGTTTCCACATGTTCCAACATTCGCAAAATTATGCGTGGTGTGTGTGTATATGTGTGACTATGTGTGGATGTGTGTCTCGGCCTGACACGGTCCACATTTAGACCCAGGAAATCACGAGACCATCTTGTGGTTCTCAGAGGCCCCTATTTGGACCCTGAGACAGCGGGGCCAGCTGAGATCACGTACCCAACACCAGCAAGAACATCCCGGAAACTCCCCGCCCTCCGCCTGGGCCCGTGCAGCCACAGCCAGCAGCAGCAGCCAGGCCGCCATGCAGCATGGCAGAGACAGACCGCACGCGGTTTCGGACAGACCGAGCGACGGCTCGGTCCGCTTCAAGGCTCCTTTCGCATTCTTTGGAGCTGGGCTCAATCGGCTCAAGGGTCAAAAAGCGCTTGACAAGTTTGCCGTGTCTACCCCCACACCCCCCGCCACCTTCTTTGGCTCTTCGAGTCGATTCAGAGAGCATCCTTTTGCTCATGTCTATGTTTCTTGCAGCATGAAGCAGCTGCAGAAGACATGCACGGCCTTTATAAAATTCCAGCCTGCCAGAACGTCAAGCCAGACCAAATGGCTCAGCCAAACTGTCTACCTCACCGAACCTGCAAAGGGCGTAGTACCCTCCACTAGCTCTGGCTATCAGCAAAAGACCCACAGCTGATTGCTCTGATTAGTAAGACAAACATGCGCAAAGCTGACACCTCTCTCACACAAGGCGGGTCAGTCTTATGCCTGTGTCGTCCTAGGCTAATTATGCAGATTGGTGGTCTCCGAGGCTCGCCGTTGAGGTTGCAGCTTTTTGGCTCAGGGTGGGGTTGGACCTGATCTTCATTGAGTTTGGGGATGCGTTGGCTGCGCTTAGTCCGCCAAACCTACAAAATATCTTTAGACCTTGTCGGTTGCACAGTAAAAAGTACAACACCGAGTGACTTGCTTGCCAACTGTTCCAAGTAGAAGAAAAGGTCGAAAGTGGCTCGCTGCTCGAGAATCAACCGAAATCCTTGTCACTGGGCACCCCGGCCAAGTTGCCGCATCTCACCTCGGTAGGATGACGCAAGAAGTCCAGCCAAGACCTTGCAGTCTTTGGCAATCCGAAGAGCTATGCCGCTACGAATGGATATCCAGCTCCTGCCATCGTCTAGTTGTGCCGGCAAGTCTGTTGTGCCGGCGCAAATCTAGTTTGCCCTTCTGGAAGCTGCCTTGCCCAACTGACAAAATATTCCAATCTTAGGCTACCAAGCCCAAGAGTCCTTGAGCTTCCTCCACTCTGGCTTGCCTTGCGCAAGCGGGCTTTGATCACACGATCAACTGGTGTTCGTGGGTCGCGGAAAATGTGGGCAAAACGGGCTGAATTCGCACACTTATCGGCCTGCCTGGCAAAGCCTGCGATCACTGCCTCGGAATCGGGACAGCAGCTCGCTGCTTCGGTCAGTGGAGATCGGATCCATTGGTTCATTCCTACCCCTGTTGATGCCCTGAGAATCAGAAAGACAAAAGGTTGCCAGAAAAGGCCCAGCCCAGGTCTCCCATCCAGTTCTTGAACTGGCGGAACAAATGGCACATGATGATTGCTAACACAATTGATCAACGCACAAGGTAACACAATATGAATGTGGGCAGAAACGCAGACTGCCCTGAGAAATTCAGCAATGTGAAGGTGCTCGGATGTTTCGATTCAAAGCCGAAGGGCGATTCCTATGCACAAATAGACTGAGTGACTGCACAACACATATTTCCCTAAGACGTGACGAAAAATCTTGCAGCGATGCCGCGATGCCAACACAGGATCGCCCATGCAACGATTGCAGCTGCCACTCTGCAACTGGCAACCGTGAGCCTGAGGCTCCCAGCAGTGTACGACACCACTCCTGGTGCCTGCTCTGCTGACCGCATGGCACGCAGCATCTGCAAAGCCTGAATCGAGGCGTCACAACCCATGCAACACCACAGGAACCATGATGAACACTGATGTTCATGATTCCCTTTGCAGAGGTCCTGCTTGCTGAACGTTCAAAGGGTTGGCGTTTCTAACCCACACCCGAGGCTTCGAGTGCACCTTGCCTCGTCAGCTTGACCTGCTCTGGAAGAGCTCGAGATCACCGCGCCAAGCGCAGCCTGACCCACGCTTTTGGCACCAGCAAGCGGGGCAAAAACCGGTACGAGGTTTCCGAACGGGCAACACGCTCCGAGCAGGGAACAACGTCCGCTGACGCCCCAACCAATCACCTTTGCGTAAGCCAATCAGCCACCCTCCCCACCCCGCACTTCAGCCCAGCCCTCCCACTTGCCTGCACCAGCCCGCTGTACATCCTTCTCCCACTCGAGCCGAGAAAAACAAAACTCGCCCATCTGGCCTCATCCGGCCGGAGCTGCGCGTTCTGCATCTCCTGGCAGGGTGTCTCCATGAAAACTGACCGAGTTGTCCTTTTGGTTCCCGTTGAAAACGACCCCAAAAAAAAGCTAGCAACTCGTTTAAACAAAAAAAGAAAAAAAGAAAAAGAAAGACACATCACGTTGATCGGTGAAAGGTCCGGTGATCAAAGCTGCTTGTTTCCAAGGCGATTTTTGGGGTAATGCCAGGGTTGCTGATCCAAGGGTGGGCTTACAAATCAGCCCCAGGTCTGAATGCTCAATGCCAAACCTGTTCATGTATATGTATCAAACGGGCCATGCCATGTTCAATGGGGTGAAATCATTGACATGAGTGAGGGATTGAACAGCATTTGACACAGGGCCACCTTGGAAAGTCTCAGAGTGTCATGTCACAATAGCTTCTGCAAAGAAGGACATGTACCAAAGACATTGACGGTGACCAAATCATGTCTTCTGCTGGCCTCACCCACTTTGCACCAAAAAAGCTTTGGTGCCTTTGGTGTGTGTGCGCTACATCTTTCGAAAATGCCAAAACAGCTGTGCCAAGCGGCTGAAGCTAACAGGTTTGGCTCGTGTTTTGATTGAATTCTCATATTAGTTTTTTTAGTTCACAGTCCCGGGGCTCCGGTGTTTGTTTGGCTTCTCGCCCCGCCGGAAGGACTCGCTCGAGGTTCTGACGTTTCCCGCGAGGCTTCCTCGGGCCAGATGTTTTTTGGACTTACGCCCAAGGCCAGAATCCAAAAAGAAACACTAGGCTCCCGAGAATGTGAATCCAGAAGGCGTGAGCTCAAACAGGAGTTGGATGGAACTGACTGAGGTGTTGTTTTTGCTTGGAGTCACCAATTGCTCACTCGCTTGAGAGGTGGAGAGTCCAAAATGCGGACATCCAAAATGGAAACAGCTTTCTGGCGTGATTTCAAATCACAAAACACGGGTTCCGAGTGGCTTTCCACATTCCACCAAGCTCATTGATGTTTTGACGAGCACAGCACAGAATTGCAAGGCTTCCTCTCAGCTGCACAACATGCGAAGGCTACATGTCAATCAGCTATGATGCGACACATCAACGGGCTGCCGCCACGCCAATGCGCTTTTTGTGATAGCCATGCAAACACATAGTGCTTAAAGGGCCCTGGTTTGTTGAACACGTAGTTACAAGACAGGGGTATTTGAAACAGACTGGTTGCGGGCTGAAAAATGTAGCTAAGCAAATATTAACTGCAGCTCTTCTCGTTGTAAGCAACTGCAAATTTCTCGAGTGTGAATGACTTGACTACCCAAGGAAACCCATAAAACGGGCACGAATTTTCATTAGGGGCCATTTGGTGGACATCATTTAGGTGGGGATTTCTGTCCACAAACCACCTGTCAGGCGGTTCCCCATTAAAATTCATAACCAAATGGATTCCCAAAACAACCCTTCGAACCCAACCAAGCCCGGCAAAACGGCTACGACCCCAGACCAGTTGAGTCGCCTGGAGCCAGCGCCGCGCCGCAGCGGCGTCCCCGCGCTGAGCCAGCGCCCCCAGCATCGCTGTCCAGGTGCCGACGCCGGGCGCCAGGCCTCGAAGCGGCGAATGACCCAAGGGAGGTTTGGGGTGGAGTGAGGTTCGGAGTTCTCAAACTGGAGGACCCCCTTTTCAGCCTTCCAAAAAGAAAGGCAAAGAAAATCAATCATCCTTAAGGACCCAACAAGATTCCGGGGCCCGCGCAAGGTGTCTGTTTTGGAGTTGGTGGCATTTTTCAGGTTTTGACGGGAAACCAAGAAACCCAGAGTTACACAAAGGACTTGGCTAGCCACTTCTATTGTGCCCAACGTACCTTGCAAAGTTCCATGGACGAACAGGGCTGTGCTGAAGCCCCCACCTCAATTTCCGAGGCCTTGCCCAAGCAGATTCAATAGGATCCCATCCCCCAACTACCCCCCATGTAAGACGAGACGCCTGCTTCCAGCATCTCAGCCTCGCTCAAAAAGCAGAAGCACCACAACAAGTCATGAATTTCAGAACCATGTTCCCTTCCTTCCAGTGTTTCCTTTTAAAAAAAGCAACATGCTGCCAACGAAGTACCGCATCAACTACATGGAGAGTCTGAAGCCAACGGATATCTTCAAAATCCTTCAAACATATCAAGCAATCTCAAAGTCCGCGCTGCGGTTAAGCCGTTACACCACATTCGTTGCGTGACAAGTGCATCCCCTGGACCGCCAAGACAACGGAAAACATGAAAAAGTATAAGGGCAAGAAACAGGAACACCAGCCACTGTTGCGGAACTCTTTTCAACACTGTCAAGAAACAGTCAAAACTGAACAGCAATTGCGGTTTGTCTCATGGGTGAAGAAGTGTGCTCCCGAAATGTGCGACGTTCATTTGGTTCCCCCTCAAATGAACCCCACCAATGGTGCACACTTGCTATCAGACAACATCAAAAGCAGGGTCTTCCTCCCGAAAGCAACACACCGATTTAGGGTTCTCAAGCCTCACCCCACCAAAAGGAAATTCGCTTCAAGCTTGTCCGCGAAGGTGACTGTTGAAACCACGAAAAGCGGAAAGGGGAAAATTCTGAACCAACCGCCCGGTGTCCGACCGTCAGACCGTCCGACCCCGGGCGCCAGCAGCAGCATGGCCGGCGCCAGCTGCCCGCGCCGCGCGAACCCGGCGATGGCCGCGGTGAAGCTCACGGCGTCGGCACCGGCGCTCGCGCGCAGCCAGCGCCTGCGAGACCCATCCGGTCAGCACGTGAGAGAAAGCAGAAACCATTCGGCAAATCAGAGAGAAAGCGGAAAGTGGAAAGGATCTGACAGCTCCACGTGAAAAAGAACGAACCTCCACGGTAAAAGTTGTCAGACGCTGTGTGCACATGGACGAAAATTTGTCCTGAAAAGCATGACCTCCTGCTGACGTGTCTGAGACTAGGCTCAGGCCCAGCCCAACCAGCAACCCGCCTGCTGGCCAGGCCTGTCAGCCCAGCCCACCCAGCCTCAGAAGCTTGTCTCAAACAGGCCTGGCCCAATTAGCAACCGCCAAGCACGGCCCCAAGTCATCCAGCAAGCCCAGCCCAGCCCAAGCCTACCAGGCCGGCCCCCAGCTCCCAGCCCACCTCAGCCCAGCGTGCACGTGTCTGAGACTGGTCTCAAGCTACTAAGCCTGTGTGAAGTGGCCCAGCCCCTCAGTCCGGCTGAGCAGCTCAGCCCAGGCCGACCTCCTGCTTGCGTCTGGCCCCAAATCATCCAGCAGGCCCAGCCCCTTCGGCGCAGTTGACACTGGTCTCAAAGTGTGCCAGCCTGAGACTAGCCTCAGGCCCAGTCCCTCAGCCCGCCTGCTGGCGTCTCTTACCTGTCTGCGACTGGCCTCAGGCCCAGCCCAGCCAGCAACTCGCCACCCAGCCTCAGGCCCAAGTGTGTATGAAACAGGCCTTGCCCATCCAGCAACCCGCCCAAGCACAGCTCAGCCCAGCCAGCCCAAGTTCCAGGCGCAACCAGCAGCGTAGTCCGGCTGCCCGCCAGCAACCCACCCATGGCTTCGCAGATTTGTGGCTGAGACTAGCTTCAGGCCCAGCCCAACCAGCAACCCACCTCAGCCCACCCTGCCCAGCCGGCATCTGAGAGCATGCCAGCCACCAGGCCGGCCCCAGCTCCCAGCCCACCAGCAGGCTCAGCCGCGTGCCATCAGGTTTGTCTAACGTGCCTGAGACTGGGCCAACGACCAGTCTCACGTGTCTGAGACTGGTCTCAAGCTACGCCAGCTACCAAGCCTGTCTGACGTGCCCCAGCCCCCCGGCCCCAAGTCATCCAGCAGGCCCAGCCCCTTCAGCGTCTCAAGGTATGCCAGCCTGAGACTAGCCTCAGGCCCAGTCCCTCAGCCCGCCTGCTGGCGTGTCTATTGGGGATATTTTTCCGGGGTACTTAAGCAAATGGAGGTTTGTATTCCCACCATGTACCTGTCTTGGGCTGAGCAACCGAGCAAGAAATGTATGTCATGGCAAGCCGCCAGCCACGTGAAATGGAGGTGCCCAAACACCCAAAGTTGGTCTTGGTTATTCAGTGACACCAATTATTGTTCCCCTTTTTATGGAGGCCAAGCCCCACTAAAAATGTTCATCCCCAGAAAGAGGTCCTTTTTTTTCCAAGGGCACTGAGCAGCTGAGATAGTCTTGGTTTTGGATTCAAACCTTCCGAGCAGGACGGCTTCCGAACATCGAACTAGCACGGGCGAACTGGTGCGGTCACAAGCTTTCAGTAGGATTCGGACCTTCCCAACACTGGATTTCGGTGTTCCTGACCCTTCCCTCAAACTAGGCTGGGCCGAGGCGGGCAACGCGAAGCGTTTACAATTAGTGACTGCCTGCGTTTCGTGCCAAAGAGGACCAATCGCGAGCGTCTCTTCCACGCGTTTTTGTGTTGTGTCTGTGTGTGTGTGTGTTGCTATTTCGTTTAACAAGCACAATCGACAAACTAGGGATGCTATCGTTGCGCAGGCAAGGGCGTCGCAAATGCCTTTTCCGTGGAGAGCCTACATGGAAGGAGCCCCAGCTCAGTGTGAACCTGCAAAACACTCAGAAAGTCGGAATTACATTGCTTCGGCAATTACCATCAAATAGTCTCGTCTAGCTGGGTTAGGAGCGGGCCTGTTGCGTCTCACCACAAAGCCCTTGTTTGGGCTGGTCAAAAGGACCCAAGGAAACAATATCATTTGGAGGTGGGTTCCCTCAATTTGAGACAAACCCGCTGGCTCCAAGTTTGTACCACGCTCAAAGTCAAGGCCCAAGAGGCAGGATCTGCTACACAACCAGTGAGGGAAAAGTGCTGAATTACAGCTGATGGCGAGCGAGAGGAGGGAGGAGAGAGAGAGAAAAAGCGAGAGTGAGAGTGCGAGAAGAAAGAGAGAGGCTATGTGGAGTTGCATCAAGTGTTTGGAGCATAAGACCTGTATTCAGCCATCTATTTGCGCGCGGTGAATGTGTGGCACTTCTCAAAGGACTGACAAGGCAAATGCGCATTCTTGAGATTGTAACCAGGCTGCAATCCACGGGCCTGCACCAGATTGGCCTACTTGCTCTGGGCCAAATCAAGCAAGGGCTCCTTGACTCCTTCCATCAGCAGGTGCAACAACTTTGAGTGGCTCCTTGATCAAATGCTGCATAGTCTGTCAATTATCCATGTCGCAAGAATTGGAATGCTAGTTCGGAATGCGTCAACATTGGAAAGCCCTGCTTGCGGTGTTGCAACATAAATTTCACATGGCTCCAAAGTGGTTGGTGCATCCCCGGCTAAAGGATATTCATTTTTTCCACGCCCATGTCCAAGCCGTTGGACACTTACCATTTACATCCGGCTACGGTTGCAAAGCGCCTGGCTCCCTCCGCATCGCTTTGCCGCGCAAAGGCGCGGATGGCGGAGGTGTAGGCACGCAAATCCGCAGTCCCTGCCTGGGAAAACGTGAAGAGAATGGTGGCTTCCCTTTTGGTCTGTAAAACAAAATTTGAAAGGTACCTTCAAAAAAGGACGTGTGCCTTTTAGGTGTGTCTTTTTGTGAGGCTAGCATTTTTTGTTGGTGGTTGAAAGGAAAGCCAAAGGAAAACCACCATTTTTTTTTGGGGGGGGTCCCCAAAGAAAAAACACCATATTCAGTGTGTCTCCAAGTGGAACGGGTGTGAATTTAATTGATCATTTCGGTGGGGATTCATGTCCTTGTGCTAGTTGGCTTTTCTAAATTCTTGCTCTAGTTCACGGCTGCTTACCGGCGCGCTCTGGGCTGGCTACTCCGTCTCGCCTGGCCTGCGACATTTTTTAATCAAAGATGGCAAAGGCAAGGGAAAAGTGAAGTTGCTTGCAGCCGTCTTCAGACGCTTGCGCATAGTTCAGACTTGAGAGGCAAGTTGAATCTAGACAGCTGCGATTGGATGTGGCATCCCTGAGTAGGGTGGCCCTCTTGCGCGGCTCTTGCGCGGCTCTTGTACCGTTTCCATCGAGCAAATTCGGGCAAATCCGGTCAAGTTCATGACAAGCTATGATATGATAAGAAAAACATCTCAGGGCTTGTGTGCGGCTGGCAGTAGCAGCAGTATGAGTTGTGATAGCAAAATCATAGCTCTCTTGTGCTCGCCCTGTCTTTCGCTCGCCCTTTCGTTCTGTTCATTAAAAAGGAAGCAGGAGAGTCCACTGGCAACCGGAGACGCAGAAGGAACGCATTTCTGAGCAACTCCCTAATGGCAATTTAGAGAGTGCGATCCATGTTATTCCCTTCACGGCAATAGATCATGAAGATTGACAGTTGCCCATGTAAGGCTTCATGTGGATCCAATGGCAAAACATGAAGCGCAAGACTCTTGTCCAGTAAAAAGGCAACACCCACAACTGCACGACCTCCTTCCCCAAAGTGCTGTGAAACACAAGAAGCACCAGGTTGCCGTTTGCAATGCCTTGCAAACTAACCAAGGGATCTGCTCGAAAAAAGAAACATTGGTAAGTACCATCAAGGACTGTCTGCTTGGCAGGAGAAGCCTGCAGGAGTGAAGGAGTGACTGGCTTCGCTGTTTCGGTTGCTTTCTTGCAAGCTTTTTTTGTGCCTTGGTTGCATGTGCCTTATCGCTGGTGTACAGCAACTGCATGTCATGTCAGCAAGCTGCATGCAGTCAATCAGCGATGGAGATGTCTTGCATTGCAATCCAAGCACGGCAATCTGTGCAAAAGGCCACAAACTGTCAGCAATCAACACCTCAAGACCATCCCACCTCCGGAGTCCCGCCTCTTCCATTTTTCTCAGCGCCCCTTCTGCATCTTCTGCCGTCGCCGCCAAGGTGACCCGCAACAGCTCAGCCTCCTCGACACCTGCAAGCCCGGGCGGTGCCAACGGGCCTATCGCCAATGTGCCAATGGGTGTTCTCAAAATTGGAGTCCCCTAAAATCGCTGGCTCCCTTCTGATTTGCCTCTAACTTACTATGCCAATCGGAGGAAGTCCCAACTGGCCTCAAAAACAAATCAGCTCGGCTTCTGTCGACCTGAAAACTCCGGGCCTTCAAGCCACGCCAGCGCCTCCTCGTTGTCTCCCTGGGTCGCCAAAGACACTGCCACGGATTTCAGGCAGCCTCGGCGCAAGTGGACCCCGGAAGGGGTCCATTTCCGGGGCCGCACAACTCCGTTTTTGGAGCTGGTACCGTTCGGTGGCTTTAAGGGGAAACCGAAAGGAAAGCCAACCATTTCGGGGGGTCCAAAAAAGACACACCCAAATGGCTTTTGGACCAGACAGATTTGAGCTCGGATGTTGCTCCGCACGAAAAGAGGCCAACGCCCCGGTTGAAGCCCAGCTGCGCGGGTCCACTTCCACTTCCTTCAGGCGCTTGAACCAGGCACTGGCACGGCCTCAGGACGTGACGGCAACACATGTGACACTTAGATGGGACGAATCGGATGAATGAGCGCTGCAAATCCGCGATTTGCCACTAAACCCCAAGCTTTCGAGCGAGGGCCTGGGTCCACCTTGGCCCAGCCATCCAGCAGCGCGCCGTACCAGGCCATGTCCGGCTCTGTGTGCCGCAGGCCTTCCCAGAAGTAGGCCCTTGGCCAGCACGGCTGAGAAAGCTGCGACGGCCCCTTTCTGAAGTGGGAAAGCCAACCCTGAGAAACAAAGCTGGATCGACAAGCTGACCGCCATGGTCATTGCACGAGAAGCAAATATTTAGCCCCAGTTGTCTTGATAGTGGGATGATTCAAACACAAACTGGCATATGCTGTTTGGCATCCTCTTTGTTGGATCCTCCCAGGCCATGCTCCAGTCATTGCGCGGTCCAGGCAAAAATGCACCGGAATTCAATTGAAGGAATTCATTTTAAAGTGTCCATAACTGCACTGGAATCATCGAAGAAAAGAAGCTATCCGTTCATGACTGGCTGCAGAACTACATTGTCTATTAAAGGTCTCCGAAATCTTTGTCGACAAGTTTGGGATATTCAAACAAAACAAATCAGCAAGGCAGCCAACGTGCAAGCCAAGAAGCATGTACAACTCGGGAAAGCAAACTGAAAACCACGCACACACACACACACACACACACACACGCACGCACACGCACGCACGCACGCACGCACGCACGCACGCACGCACGCACGCACGCACGCACGCACGCACGCACGCACGCACGCACGCACGCACGCACGCACGCACGCACGCACGCACGCACGCACGCACGCACGCACGCACGCACGCACGCACGCACGCACGCACGCACGCACGCACGCACGCACGCACGCACGCACGCACGCACGCACGCACGCACGCACGCACGCACGCACGCACGCACGCACGCACGCACGCACGCACGCACGCACGCACGCACGCACGCACGCACGCACGCACGCACGCACGCACGCACGCACGCACGCACGCACGCACGCACGCACGCACGCACGCACGCACGCACGCACGCACGCACGCACGCACGCACGCACGCACGCACGCACGCACGCACGCACGCACGCACGCACGCACGCACGCACGCACGCACGCACGCACGCACGCACGCACGCACGCACGCACGCACGCACGCACGCACGCACGCACGCACGCACGCACGCACGCACGCACGCACGCACGCACGCACGCACGCACCCACACACACCCACACACACACACACACCAAACCAAGAAATAGAAAGGAAGGCAACATCCCCCTCACAAACCGGCATTGTTCCTACTCACCACTCCATTCCCATCTGGCCATGGGTCAACATCCCGTACCCCGGTGAACATCCCAATCGCCACTAAGATAGGTTCTAAGATGGGTGGTGAATTCACCTACCCCGACTTGAGGAGCGGGTGAACGAAAGCTAGCAGTTGTTGCATGAGATGGGTCGGTGACAGAGTGGATTCATAGGTAGCTTGTGTACAACGAGAGGCCCGGCAAGATTCGTAGGATGCGACACGCAAACGCACATGGTGGCGTGGCAAACCTTGAAAAATGAAAACAACGAGAGGCGTCAGAAGCTGTCTTACAGCACCTCTGGGTTCTGCATGCTGCGTGTGCAAAGATTCTTGCGAGGTGGTTTACCGACAAGACTGAGGTCTCAAATAGCACCAAGTCCAAAACGGGCACCGAGACTGCTGAACACTGAGCCACTGCCTGGGGGGGGGGGGGATGGACCAGGGAGGAATCGAGCCTGAGACCGGGGGGGGGGGGGAGGGGGGGGGGGGGGGTCTAAATAATTGATGTTTTTCAATCTTTTCGGCTCAAATAATTGAAAAAATCAATCTTTCGGCATTTGAGCCCCTTACCTTGCTTACGCAAGGAGAAACTTCAGCTAGCTAAAGCTAGCTTTCGTGAAATGGGATCCCATTGGTGTTGACCCACAGCCGCTTTTCTCACTCACAAACCGCGCTTGAGCCCAAGACGCTCCGCCCTGTGGGGCGCCGCCGAAGCCGCGGCCAGCAGCTTCCCGAAGCTCCGGGCGCTGGGCTGCAGGCGGCTCGCGCAGAGCCGCTGGAACCAGGCCTCGCAAACGGCCGGCCGGCCTCGGCTCAAAAAGGGAGGGGCCACGGATTTCCAGGGCAAACCCTCAGCTTCAGAATCCTTTTCTTTCGCAAGCGTTGAGAAATCCTCCGCTCATGCTTTATCCCTCCCCCCCCCCAAAAAAAAATAAAAATGGGTTGAAATAAGGAGATCGCCGTCTTTCAAAATAAGATCCGTGACGAAAAGCAAGTAGTCCAAATCCTTTCGTAACCTCTTGGCGAAGGATCTTGTGGGCCCAGCTAGCGCCATCTGCCTTACCTTGCTCCAATAGCCATCAACTCCACCAGAACTTTCCGGAATGGAAAGAGTTCCAGCCAAACTGCTCAGGGCTATCTACGCATCAACCATTTAGAGAATTTCAAGACGTATAACCATAAAATGAGCAAATGAGGATTTTGCGGGATGCCCTGGGAATTCTTAGACAAAAGGACCGGTGCTCATTACATAGGTGGTCCTCGAACGGCCCACCGAAGCCTTGGAGAAAAATGGGTCGCAACAAGTGACTGACCCAGAGCAGCTCTGCGGAAGCCCACATGAACATGCCAGACCCCGGCCCAAACGGCAACGCCTCGGCGGCAGGGAAGTCTCGGGCTTTGACCTCAACTTGATGGCAGTCTCGCAAATCTAACGAAGCCGAAGCTTTTTGTCGAGCATGCGGGACATGGGTCGGAAGCCTAAAGCTTCTTTTGAGGCCGGTCTTCCCGGACGCACGTCAGGCGCATCCATCCAAAAACCGCTCCTTCTTGCGGTCTGGCACTCGTTGGCGCTCCTTCACCGGGCACGGTGAGTCACTCGTTTCCACCGCTTCACGCTGAGCATCCGGGCGCAGGCCTTGAGCACCAAGTTCCACAAGAAGGGCTTCGCGAAGCGGCCGGAGGGAACGACCTGCCGCAGCTCCTCGAAGCTGCGCTGGGCCTGCGACGTTGCTTCACAGCGCCCGAAACCACAGCTGACTTGTGGTTCGACCATGTTTTTGTTTTTTGTGGAGGAGAAAGATTGGGTGTAGGGTTTCCGAAAAGCTCGCTCGAAAGACGAGTGGTCAGTGCAGTGAATAGGCTGCACAGCCACCAGTCACCGTGAACACCGAGGCTCGGACCCTTTGAACCACAATACAAGTACATGGATCGTCATGGATGCAAAAAACAAACGCGAGCAGCATAAAAAAGGCACGCGCATCAGCTCGAGTGAAACTCGATGGTGCAAAGCACCAAGGCCTCCTCCACAGCTCCAGCTTCCGAGGCTGCGATGAGCCGCCGCAGCGCCTGCAGCCCCCCTTCGCCCTGTCCGGATAGGGTGAAGAACCGCACTCTTTGGTCCCAAATCCAGCAACTCGCCTCCAAAAACAACTTCCAAAAGGTGCCCCTGGCCTTCGCCATCCACTCATGGCCAAAAAGCTTTGAGGAAAGGAAGCCGAGTCGAAAAAAGGGTGCCGACATAAAGGCAGTGCGCTCCAGCTGAGTACCTTGCTCCAAGTACACTGCTGTGTCGCGTCGAAAAATGGGGAAGGGGTGCATGCCTGCAGAAAGATGCAGTATCTTGGCCTTGGCCGAGCCAGCTTCGAATCTGAATCTGTGAGTTCATGCGCCTTCGGCTGTCTCGTTGCACCTGTCACACCAGCACTCTTCACACCCACACCCACCAAAACTTCGGTATAAAGTTGCCAGTGGTTTGACCGCACACACATCGCTCTGAAAGCCGGAACATAGCTCAAGTTTTCCTCTGGCGGTGAAATCATGTCCCAAGCTGGCATCGAGAAAGGATGGCAATGTCGCGAGCAAGCCTCACTTGTTCGAGATGCTTGGCTCGCTCCCTTGTAAATCAGGCTCAAATCGCGTGTTTACTCTTTGCAAAATGCTCATGCCATCCTTCTGTACTCACGGAGCTTGCCGAAGCATCTGGCTTTGCCACTTCGTCAACTTGCTTGAGAAGTTTCGCTCCGGCCCTTTGTTCGAAGGCTCATGCTTTCAGCTGCAACTGCGGGCATCGGGCGACTCCTCTGCGCATAGCAAGCCAAATTCCCGAGCCTTCCTTCGCAGGCCTCAGAACGGACCTGGGGATGCTAGCGAAATGCCACCGTGAACGAAGAAACTCTGCTGGAAAACCACACGAGTTACGCGACCACAAACCCTGCGCATCCCAACGTCCAGGCTTGGCAACCAGACCATGTGCTGGCGTGTTCACGTCCAAGGTATGGGACAATCTCCCTTGTCCGTCCCATGCCTTAGGACATTGCCTCCCCTCCTGGCCCAGCCGAGCCGCTTTGGGAAGCCCGCAAGACGGGGAAGCAAACAGCTGGGGGCAGTCCCAAGCAGTGCCAGGCACCCGCGGCTTGGTTTCCATCTGACCTGGCTGTTTCTTTTTGGATTGGAGTCCTCCTGGCACCCCGCTGCCTTGAAAAAGAACGATGCAAGGCGCACGCGCATTCCGCTTCGCCGCAGGACAACACGGGTGAAGCTGAGAAGCCCGGTGCACCGTGGAACGGCAAAGGGTGCCCCGAAGGCTCTGCCGGGCGACCGAACGCGCCAAAGCTGGCGGACATTGTCCGGGCCCCGGGTACAAGCCATCAGACCACCTTTCCCCGCGCACAGCATAACTCTGGTGCAAGCAGCCCAGATCGCGGAAAGAAGAGCCCACAGCATATCTGCCAGTGCTGAATGCATCATGAAGATGATTTTGGGAGCCAAGTGACTATGCGTGGGTGCAAATCCGTCTGGCGCCAGCTCTCAATCGTAAGCCACCAGGTAGCTGTTCCAAGGCAACTGTGAAAAGCCCCATTTAAGAACAAGCGCAGAAAGCTCGACCTGTTACGGGAGAACTGGCAAAATATTAAATCATTGCTTGGAGCCTCCCGCCGAAGATTCGTGCCGGCTGGGCAACATCGGCCCATCCGGTGGCAAGCAATAGGCCGTGTGGAAGCCTTTGCTCGCCACTTTGCCAAAGCATTTGCAGCTCCGGCTTGCAATAGCCAAATGCTTTCTTGAAAGACCAATGCTTCTTTGGCAAAGCGGAATGGAATTCAGCAACACTATGGCAACCAGGTCGTCGTGAAACGGAAATCAGTCCCTCAAAGGAGCCTTGAAGAGACCTGGCAACGGAAGCCGCAGCTTGATGATCCCTTGCAAACCTGTTGCCACGTTTCCTGAGGCAGGTCAGCCCTTCTAAGAGGAGAGGCTTGCTTACCACGAAAACTCCCACAGGTGGATACAGGATCAACGCCGAGATTCGCAATACAGGAGAGTATGCAAATATGTTTTCCAAAGAATCCGCCGAAGATGGACATGTCTGTGTGCATGGCACAGGCGGGAGAGCATGCTCCAAAGCCAGAAGTCAGCTATATATCCCACAGGAGCAAACGACCAAACCAGCCGCATGCCTCCCAAAATTTCAAGTCAAATTCTTCGATGTCAGGGGATACCCATCGAAGCCGAGTATGCAAACATGGAACGTCATGGTGCTCAAATGCGTGCAAATGTGTGTGTGTGTGCTCAAATTGTGTAACAGGTGCGTCACTCTTCATTTCTATCCGCTGAGAAAGGCTCAGTGCTCATGTGGAATCATGTGGAAAAGGTTGCGTGAGAAAGGAAAAGCAGAACCAAAGTCAAAGGGTGCGGATTTATTTTGGGTTTTTTTGTTTTTTTTGTTTTCCGTTCTTCGTCCGGGCCAGTAAATGTCGTACTTTACAGCATTTTCTCGCGACATTGACGCATTTTACACTAGCCCGTCAACATCCCCAGCATCGTTTTCAACATCCCCCGCATGTCCGACCAACATCCCTAGCATCACCAAATCGTGGGTAACAAAATCCAAAAAGTAGCTGACGGGCATTTCAATCCCAGAAAAAGAAGAAGAAACAAAAAGCGGGGGGGTTGGGGGCAGCCCACCCCATGATAGCAGCCCACCCCATGATGGTCGCAGAAGTGATGATTCGAATAGTCGTGCAATTAAATCTCTGCAAAAAGTCTAAAAACTAGCGGGGGGGTTGGGTGGGGGCGGCAGCCCCCCCCCCACGATGTTCGAAGAATTGATGATTCAACTAGGGGTGCAATGGGGGTGCAATGATTCAAGAAAGGGTGCGATAGAATTTAAAAGGCAGCGGGAGGGTTGGCGGGTGGCTTCCCCTATGATGTTCGAAGAAATCGTATTTTGCAGCATTTTCTCGCGAAATTGGACGCTCGAAAAAGTGATGATTGAACCAGGGGTGCAATTCAATCTCTGCAAGAAATCTAAAAAGTAACGGGGGGGGAGGCGGCAACCCCCCCCATGATGTTTGAAGAAGAGTTGATATTCAAATAGGCGTGCATTTACTCTGCAAACAATCTAAACAGTAGCGGGTGGGTTTGGGGGGAGGTTCCCCCCCATGATGTCCGAAGAAGTGATGATTCAAATAGGGTGGTGGTGATGCTGATGATACGGGAAGCCAATCCAAAAACCAATGAAAGGGTGCAAAAGCCAAAAAGCCCGAAGGATGCGAAAAGCCAAAGCCGCCAAAAGCCGCCAAAAGCCGCCAAAAGCCGCATAAACCAGCGAAAAGCCGCAAAGGCCAAAACGCCACCTGCCGAAGAGGAACTGGGAATGCAGAGGATGCGAAAAGCAAAAAAGCCACCAAAAGCCGCATAAACCAGCAAAAAGCCGAAAAGCCCAGAAGCCCAGAAGCCCAGAAGCCGAGAAGCCAAGAAGCCAAGAAGCCAAGAAGCAAAGAAGCCAAGAAGCCAAAAAGCCAAGAAGCCAAGAAGCCAAGAAGCAAAAACAAACAAAAAAAAAGATACCCCTCCAAAGTCAAATGGCTCCCAACAAAACTGTCACCCGCTTGAGAACCAGCATAAGCATTGAATTCTGTACTGATGCATCAACTGGAAACGGT